GTTCTTTTACTTCTGACAACTCTATTTTTGTTTTCTTTGGACCTACTAAAGCCTCTGCTGTGCTTACACTCTCATCGTGCTTATGTCCTCATGTACTTCCAAAGTGGTTAATCAGAGTCTCATTACCCCGATGTGAAAGGTCATTCTTTGACAGAAATGTAATTGGTCTCATTCCAAGTACACCCATTATATACATGATCTGAGAGTCATTCTGTACAAACATTTCTTGTATTTTTCCACAAGTTTCTTTATAAATGTGCTTTTCAGTGCTTTACTGTTTCTTTCACCTTTAGAAATAACTTGATTCTCTTTATACACAAGCCTGCTCCCTTCTTCAGTCAGATGATCTCTCAGTGTGTCAAGAAAGGATTGATGTTCCTCCTGTTCTTCAGCATCTTTGTACTTGTTCAGTGATCAGTATTTTTCTGGAAAACCAGTTGTAGCTCAGTGATGATATGGAGTATGTCTCTCGGCGTGTATGTGGTGCCTATAAAGTCATTATTTCCAAGTTTCTTTCCATAACCCTTTGCTTTAGCATCTTTTTCTGTGATGAATAATGTGTTAAGGGAATTCAGTGATCTAAACATGGTGTGTCTACTGCCATGTAGATGGAAATCCACCATACTTCATGCACTTCCTTTATCTTGATGTCATCATATTCTAGCAACTGCTGCATCTCTTTCAACTTCTCACGTGTATTTGCTGAACCCTTAAAGATATAAAACATTCAAGTCAGTATCTCTTGATACTTGTTCAGATAAGGTATTTCAATTGCAACCTGTGAGCTGAATAATGCTAATCTGTGTTCAATGCAATGATTATTCAGAATCACAGGATTTTTTCTCAGTCGCACCCTCTATTGCCCTGTCATCACTTTAGTGCCGTCACTTCCAAACCCATAAACCTTTGAAATTGGTACCTGTCTCTCTTATAAACTTTCTAAAATAGCCTTTGAGACTGTTGTGCCTATCCCATCTCTAACCTTAACATTTTTCAATAGCATGATACTTGGTTCAAATGTTTCTGGAATCAGCACACAAGCATATACTACAAGTTTTTCCATTTTAGTGACACAACTCTCATCAGCTAACATGCTTATAACAGGTGAACACTTCAGTTTTTATCACACTAGCAACTGAAGAAGACAACATCCCATTGTAGCCTTCTTGGACACAGTTATTTTGTCCATATCAGGGATAACCAAGTCCCCATAGGAATAGCATTGTACTTTCATATTTAACCAGAGCTAAATCTTCTTTCACCAAGTAATATACAGTTTTCATACAATTGTCAGTATGTTTTACATTTCAAATGGGGATCTCAAAAGCAACATGGCACCATCAAGTGAAACACTGAATTTTGTAAATCACAATGATAATAACCTTCTGGCCTGATAATCTTGCAATATAAATGTCTGAAGCGTATGTTTCACAAGTGTATTGATATTCAACCCTAAGATCTGTAAATCTTTCTACTGAAATGTGTGCTGTCAGTTTTGTTCAAGTACCTTCTAACTTCTACTAGCAAAACTAACACAGCAATCTGCTGGTTTCTTGGTGTTACTTTTGAATCCTGTTATCTGGGAAATAATCTTGAAAGAGCACTTTTCAAATTTTGAAGATAGCTAGGAAATACTGTTGAATATTTTAGACTCACAATAGTTTTTTTTCACGCTACTACTTAAATTACAACACTTTTGGAAAACAATTAACATTTATCTTGCTCCACCTGGTTTTGAACCTGTTTAAAAATAACATGCATATTCATTGACGACCTTAATGAAGCTATTCAGTGTATATTTGTTTTATCCTTACATTTTAGATTCAGAGTACACAGATCCAGACAAATACAACAACATCTCATGTAATTCATGGTAGCACTCCTCTTTCTCAGATAGGAGCTTCCTCCAGTGGAGCACCAGGAGAAAACAGGGTCCCACCAATTGGTAAGTGGACTATCCATGAATCTTAAAATTATTAGACAAAAACCACTCATCTTTTAAGTGTAAGGATGCAGGAACTATGGGTGCTGTGCATTTGCTGGTGGTTTTAGAAATGTTGATTTGTTCTCTTTATGTTTCACATTGCCCGTTTGTCTATAGTTCGTGCAAAGCTATGTGAGTGGAAGTATATATTTTTTTACATGCAGATTTTGTACATTTTGATAATCTTGTATAATATTTAGTAACGGTTTACTGCCAGAAAATATGGCAGTCACTTCTGGAAAAGGTTGTTCATTGTAGTGAAGTGAAAATAGTAGGTGTTACTAGAAGACACAAAACTACAGCTGTAGATTGATATTTCACGTTTATTTTGTTTATTAGATAATGAATGTGTAATATAATTTTAAGTAGTCAAATTAGGCTTAGCAACTTATGAAATCACAGAAGAAAGCTTGTTGTTTATTCTTCACCCGTGTCCGTGAAATGTATCATTGTTTTAGAAATTTTGTTGCCAATTTAGATAAACATTGACAAAAGGTATAGAACACGAGAAATGTAAAATAGAAGAAAATAAACCTCAGGGTTCCGTTGAAATAGTGGTAAAAGTGTAGATTTTAATGTATTTTTCATACATAGGATTTTAAATATAAACATTTCCAAAGCTTTTTGTAATAACATGTTTTGTTGCACATTGTTTGTAGATTTTTAAATAATGTTTTACGTGATTTACATGTAAATTCAATAATGTGTGTCACTGGTTTTGAAAATTGAAGATGAATATCATATCAGGTTTTTGGTACAGCAGCATTGTTTTTGATTCAGACAGTACTTTGTTTTTCATGATCTTAGAAACCATTAATTTAACAGGTAAGTTTACACTTAAGTTACTTACTCTTTTACTGTAATAAGTATTGAAATTGCATACAGTGTTTGAGTTTTCAAAAGTAATAGTTATAGCATACAAAATGATTTAATTCATGTTTTTTTAACTTGTGTTGTTATATAATTAAAAAGATACAACAAGCTCTTTAAAAAAAAATAGAATTGCCTCTGTTATGAATGAACTTTCAAGTTTGAAAAGTTTCTTCTCTGCAACAGCTCCTAAAGGATTAATACCACACGGAGAAAGTGACGAAGAAGATATCGGAGGTAAAAAGAAACAGAAAAGAGGGGTTCTTCCAAAACATGCTACTAGCATCATGCGTTCTTGGCTCTTCCAGCACATAGTGGTCAGTTTGAATTGGTAAAAATGTTGAGTTTAATATGGTTTAACACTTTCCATACTATAGAGGTGCCACTGGTATTCCCTGACTGTTTTCTTCTGATGGTGAAAATGCTTAATTAAATTGCATGAAACTTAGTATCTAGTTTCTGCTTTATAAAAAATTTCAAGGTTGTAAAATTTCCAAAATTTTGTTTTGAATCTTTTTTTGAAAAAATGTTAAAAGTACCTTCTTTGTCATGCAGTTTTAATCTTTTTATTGTTCATCAGAAATTTGTATATTTTAAAGTAATCACCACTTCTGGCTATAGTGCATGCAAAACTGCAGAAACTGGTTGATTTATCAGTGATCTAGGACCTCACCTTTTAGGCTGGATGTCACGATTTTTAGTTCTGATCAGGATTTATTTATTAATCTTTTAAAATAAAAATTAAGATCTTGTACTTTTTTTACATTTTTTTGAATATGACAAACTCAGTAATATTTAAGGATTTGAGTCCTTGGAATATTTTGCCACTGCATACCATACTTACTATATCTAACTATCATCCTGTACTAGTATATCTAAAATAATTGTATACCTGAAAAATATTCAATTTTATGAAACACTGTAAAACTACTAAAAGTTTTCCATGGATTCTTACGTCTAATGAAACTAACAGTAGACTATTGAAGTCATTGATTTTCTATGTTCACTAACTTGTGGAGAAGTTTACTTCTAACATTAGATTATCAAGTTTATTGTCATATCAGTATATATAAAGTAGATTTGGTTAAAAACATGAATGGCCTTTGATCTGTGACCCGTCTGGAGAGGGTTAATGGGAAAGCCATCATTATGTGTATTTATTAAATAAAGCATCATATTTACATCACTTCATAAATAATTATATTTGAAATTGGCTAATTTGGTAAAGTTGAAATAATTTCTGTATTTAATATACATTTTTAAAATGTAAACACAATTGATTTTAACATAATTAAAAGGTAATATTAAGTGAGATGACAATTAAGAGCTGGGTGATTAATTGAATTTTCTAATTCAACTAATTGATTATTCTCACAAGATGACTAAAAACCGACTTATAATTAACTCTAAAAAATTAAGATTTGATACCCTCAGTGGGCAGAGCACAGCTTGTAGCTTAGCACTTAACAACATAATGGCAATATTTCATTTACTTGGATACATGAAATAATCGAAAACAGTAATAATCAGAACCCTAATTTTGATTATCTGATTATTTCTTGAGTCGTGACACTAATCCATCAAGCTGAAGAACTTGGAATTAATTGAAATGATAATGAAAAATCATAATTGTGATATTTTGGTCAATGGGTAGTTGGAATAATTGAAAGTAGTAATAACTGGGTTAGCGAAAATAATCAGTTTAGTCATAATTTCAATAAATTGATTATTTTATGCATCATAAACCAATGCTAATTTATTGGTAACTTCAATATAGTTATTTAGTAAGTTATCTACCAAACCACTTGTCATAAATGTAGATCAAACAAAAAAATTTTTCAATTCACATCAGATTTGTTTTACACTTAAGGTGCGTAAACATTAAATTTAGAACTGCTTGTGATAAATAATGAAAAAAGTAAATAACTCTTCATGGGTAATCATTTTATCAAAGCATCTGGGTATATTTAATCTTAATATTAGCAGGTTATATTTATTTCCAGTTCTTGTTATAATATGACTTCCGACAACTCACTTAGAAACCCATTAACTTCTCAATCATGTTCAAACTGTTACGTTTCAATTCATATTGACTCGATTCAGTTTCATACAAATTAAAACTGCCTTGAATTGATGATGAAAAATAATTTTTTTTCTTTGCATAGCTTTGACTCTTGTGTGTTAAATATTAGAAGTTAATGGAACTTATAATAAACTCAAAGATATATTTAATTGCAACATAATGTTATGTAAACCAGTGTTTACCTTTATTGGAAGGTTAATATAAAAATGCCACAATGCTAAATGTTATAAATTTAGAAATTACTCTTGCTGCGTGTTTGATTGTTTTTACATAATATTTTAAAAACATTGCAATAATGTGTTTTCTGAATTAAAAGGAGTTTCACTTGGTATTTTAAGTAGTAATTCTTTTTCTCTCTCTCTCTTTTTTTAGCATCCATATCCTACAGAAGATGAAAAAAGGCAGATAGCTGCACAGACCAATCTTAATCTTCTACAAGTAAATAATTGGTATGTAAAAAATCACTTGAAATGAAAAGATGCATTCAGTTATTTTTTATGTAGTTCTACGATGAAATTACTGACTGCATGACATTTTCTAAGAACAAGCAATAACTGTTTCAAAGTAACATGTGGAGATTGAGAACTGTATTAAAAAAATGGGAGTTTAAATGTTTAGTAATCTTATTCGTGTGAAACATAGATTAAAATACTATAGCCTCATTTTAATTTGATATTTTTAAAGGGTGTAATACCTCGAACTACCACAAACACTAAGACAGCTCTAGCAGCACAGTGAAAAGATATCATTACAACTTGTTTCTATCACCCTTCTCTATGAAAGCACGGAGATTAAATCACAAATGTGTGCACACAATTATTTAATCAGCTCACGTACGATTCTCATAAAAGGTATATCCAAGACACAGCAGGTTTTTCATAGAAACTGACAAGTTTTTAAATTACTTACCTAATTAATTTTTTTATAAAGCAGTTTAACTTATTTTTTTAACTATACTTTCTCATTACTCCAATTTATAAGTGATTCTAATATGATAAAACTTTCATTAGAAAGAAAATTAAACATTTTAGTTTAAACTGAACAAAGTTAAAAGTAAATCTGTTTCAAAACCTGCGTTCTTGGTTACATAATTTTCTCGTAACTTGCGGTTTTGTTTTCTACTATAAGACCTTCGTGTGATGAAGTAATGATAGTAGTATTACATTGTTACAGTTTAGTAAATTGTCAGAATCTAAGTTGAATGATGATCCCCTATAAATGTTTAAAAAGTGTATATTTACTGAAATTGCACTAACCCATCCATTGCTTGATTAAAAAAAATAATCATTTCATGTTTTTTGTTTCTTTGATTATGATACAATTTATAAAGTATATTTGTCGAGAGGATATGTCATTAATGATAAAGGTATGCATATTAGCCTGTATGATTTTTTTTTCTTTTTCATACCTAAATGAGCTGTTGTGAAGCAAAACGTACATTAAGGTTATTTTTCTCAATCTTTATTACTTTATAACAGGATGCTTTAACCTTACTATCACCAAGATATGAATTAGGCCTTTATAGCCAATATGATTTATGCATGACTCTTATTTTTCTGAGTGAATCTTAGAAAAAGTAATGTAATAAAGATTAATATTTAACTAATTATTATGTGCTTGACTAAGGTGTACCCGTATAACTAAAAAAAAAGTGTGCCTTTGATAGTAGTCCAGTTCTGTATTTCACAACCATGTATTACATATTGCAAAACATAAGTTACTGCTACTCTCAACTTCATGACAAACAAAGATTATAATAATCTATCCAGTAGAACAATAATCGTGTGAAGGAAGATCATACGTAATCTTTACCAAAACTGGATTGCACGGTCACGGAATTATTCATTTTAAACTGATACAATTCTAAAATCTGATTGAATAACATCTGCTGCTTGTTCATGCTCTGAAATCTTTTGTTCTTTCTTTATTGTACTTAAGTATTTGTAGTTTCACAGCTTCATCTTCCCTCAGATGTATGGCACGAAAAAGCTCGATGTAAGAACTGTTTTTGTAGGTTTATTAATGCCAGGCGAAGGATTCTTCAGCCAATGTTAGATGCCAGTAATCCAGATGCGAGTCACAAGGCCAAAAAAGCCAAAACCCAAACTTCCCGACAAGCCCAGCGTTTCTGGCCAGAAAATATTGCTGCTCTTCAAGCAAGTATTTCTGATCCTGACACCCAACAAGCAGATGGAAGTGGGGGACAAAATACTAATCCTTCTTCAAACCATTCTAGCTCACAAGATGGCATCATTAGTAAGTAAAATACATTTCCAGTAAGGCTTATTACTAGTTAATGCAATACTTATAAGTTTATATTCAGAGATTTCCAGTAAATAATAAAACAACTGTGTACTTTACATTATTATGGTATACATTGAAGCATGCTTTCATTTATCTGAACAAGTGTTCTTCATTCTCTCTTAAGCTGGTAACTTCCTCTGATCTGATGTTAATTTTAATTATATATCATACTCAAACATTCTGATTCACATCCTAACAGTTGTTGTTCATGAACATTAATGATATGTATATAAGGCCTAGATCACTACTGTATCTGTTGTGTCCCGATGATCCTGATTAGTCCTGGTATTCTGATTCACATCCTAACAGTTGTTGTTCATGAACATTAATGATATGTATATATAAGGCCTAGATCGCTACTGTTGTATCCCAGTGAACCTGATTAGTTAGTCCTGGTATTCTGATTCACATCCTAACAGTTGTTCATGAACATTAATGATATATATATATAAGACCTAGATCGCTACTCTATCTGTTGTATCCCGGTGATCCTGATTAGTCCTGGTATTGAGAGAAAGGCCTCGTTGGCACTGAATGTTGCAGATGGAGTGTGGTTGATATATTATAACATGTTCTTAAAAATATAGTTGTTTCTCATTAACACTGTGATTACTTGATTAACTCTAGGAACAACAATACCAGCTTGCTGGTTTGTCAGTTCTTGTAAATGCCAGTAAAGATAATTCAGATAAAGTTGATTATAATTACAATTTAAACGTGTAATCTGATTCACACCCTAACAATTGTTGGTCATGAAAATTGATGGTATATAGGTCTGTCATAATCCCAGCCAGCCTGATGAACCCTGGTATTGGGCAGTAGGCCTTGTTAGCACTACATATTCATTCACTCATGGATTTTTATAATATCCTCTGTATTAATCTCTTTAGCAACAAAAAGTGATGATGAGCGCACCCAAAGGAATCATCACACTCCTCCAACATCACCAGAGGGCAGCTCAGGAGTAAGCCACAATGAATCTGATATTATGTCAGAAGAAGAGAAGATGATCACAGAAGAGAAAGCATCCAGTGACAAGTGTAAAAAGTAACATAACTGGCTGTATTTGTCAGCCTTATTCCCTTTGTGATGACAGATTTTATGATAATAGAGAAACGTTGTACATTTTTTTCTTTGGTTGTTGATAGATGTACAAAATTATGGTGTGGGATCATGATGTTGTTAAATATACTGTCCTTTTAAAATTTTAATTGAAAGCTGGATATTAATATAATGCAATATTTTCATGTTAAAAATAGAAACTGTTCACATTACACAAGTCTGTCATAGAGTTTATTATTATTCTTGAATATGGGCATCACTTGTTCTCTCCTAATTATAATTGTTAGTAAAAGGGTAGAAATGAAGTGTAGAAACCCAATGTAACAGATGGCTTTAGTCATTGGGTTGGATCTCCACTTGTTACAAATAAGTTTTGACCTGGCACGGCCAGGTGGTTAGGGCGCTCGACTCGCAATCTGAGGGTCACGGGTTCGAATCCCCGTCACACCAAACATGCTCGCCCTTTCAGCCGTGGGGGCGTTATAATGTGAC